TTGATAAATGATGTTGTAATGCTAAGTTATAATTAAATTGCCTCTTGTTACAATTATGCAATAGTTTGACAACAAGCAGGAAATGTTCATGGGCCAATTACATCACTCCTATGAAAGGTTTATAGGCGTAATTGTTTTTATACTGTGCAAACTATTTTGAAGTCTTTATGTAAGCTTGATATTTATGTCATATAAATCTTAATGAATCTTTTATCTGTCAGAAAATAATGGGTTTTTATATATAAATGTGTACTTGGTTAAGATGTCAGCTTAACCTGCTGATTTAGTGCAATTGTAATTGAAACCGTTTTAATAATAGTATATATATATGAGCAATATCACACGAGGAGCAGTGCGATATGGCTGTATATCGGCACTGGTGGGAGGCGTGCGTTGGCACGTGGCTGCAGGCCGAGTGCTTTAGTGCCCCAAGCAGTGCCGATATACAGCCATATCACACTGCTACGAGTGTGATATTGCGTTTATACAACAGTTTGACATAATTGTGCATTATGTGTATATAAAAACAAAATAAAACATGGAGAGTCTCAAAACCCCTTTTGTATGAGGAACTATTTTTTTCCGCTTTGGATTCAAATCATAAGCTGACAGTTAGACAGCTGAGCAAGCATCTATTAAACTAGATCTGTAGTGTCTGCTTTTGGCTGGCTGTATGTGGGCGGAGTAATACACAAAGGGTAAAGAGGCTGTACGGGTGCTGATATTACTTAAATATATTACGGCTATCAGCCAATCAGATTATTTTATGTGTAGAAATATAATCTCCGTTAAGGAGAAATTGGGGAAAAAATTAAACAGGGGGGCTAATAATTCTGACTTAAACTGTATTTATATTTATGTTTTTATGTACTGAAAGTTTGAAATAAATGTTATATAAATCATATTACATATTTAATCTGGCAGTACTTTAGATGTGTACTTTATATTTAGATGGCAGTTTAACCTGCTGATTTAGTGCAATTCGCTGGTTCGAGCCCCGGCTGGGTCAGTTGGTATTTCTGTGTGGAGTTTGTATGTTCTCTTCATGTTTGCGTGGGTTTCCTCCGGTTGCTCCGGTTTCCCCCACAAGTCCAAAGACATGCGCTATAGATGAATTGGGTAAGCTAAAATTGTCCGTAGTGTATGTGCGTGAATGAGTGTGTATGGATGTTTCCCAGTGATGGGTTGCAGCCGGGAGGGCTCCCGCTGCTTAAAACATATGCTGGATAAGTTGGCGGTTCATTCCGCTGTGGCGCCCCCAGAATAATAAAGGGACTAAGCCGAAAAGAAAATGAATGAATGAATGAATGTATAGATGATATGCAGGCTACACACACAAACAGGTTTATATTTGTAAATTGTTGGGACATGCTATAGGTGTAGTTGTTTTTATACCGTTTTCTTTCATCCGATACCAACCCTACACCTTATACTGTAGGAAACTTTGTGCAGTTTTACTCTTGCTCAGAAATGTCCTCTAAAGCTACCTTCTCCTTGTAATACCTATGTCATACCCATGTCATTATACAAATTAGTGTTATTTTATGTCACAGACACGCACACATACATGCACACACTCTCATACACTCACAGAATGAATTTCAAATTCATCAGGGAAAAATAGAAGAGTATGACAATGCTGGTGTGACAACTTCAGAAAGTAATTAAAGAGATTTGTTACTGGGAGATAATTGAAATCCACCAGTGTAAGAGAGCGCCGGACGGATAATATGAAATGTTGAATTGGTGAGGATAATTATGTGTCATTCTGCTTTTGGCAAAATCATTATTTGCTTATTTCTCAAGTGGTGGCCCAATTATCACTTGTAAATTTCCATGCGGGACATGCACCAAAACGTGCAAGAAAAAAAAAAATGTTTCAGCCATGTTAGAATGACTATACATAAAAATGAGAAAACGTAAGGAAAAAAAAAAACACTTATTTGACACATTTAAGATTTCTGGTCAGTTTTACCATCTTACTGTTAGAGAAATTGATTTGAAGAGAGTGGGGGGAAAAGCAAATGGTTTTTAAATAAGTTACAATTAGATTAGCATTAATCTCAGCGGTGCAAATGAATGTGTGGCTTTAGGGCTTGTTGGATGTTAAAGCAGATTTCTAAACTCTGCTCCAGATTGGAATGTGTCCTGCTCAACTTTAATTGCTCTGTCATGTAAGATGAAAAACATTTCCCACTTAAGCTGCTGTCTTTAAGACGATGCTTTATGTTTTGTGCATCTGTACGCAATGTTCATATGTCTAGCAGTGTTTATCGATTTCATCTGTGCCGTTCAGAGCTCATTTACATATGCAAGACTGAAATAATGTAGTGACAGATCTTGGCTTTATTGCACAACATCTAAACGGAAAAATTTGAGGAATTCCGAAACTATTTAACAGGTATTATTATTTTGTTATTTATATTTTACAGATAATTATTATGATCATAATAAACTAATTAATTAATTAACAACAAAAACAATAATAATAATAATAATAATAATAATAATAATAATAATAATAATAGCATTTATTGGTAATAATACTAATAATACTACTACAACTAATAATAATAATAATAATAATAATAATAATAATAATAATAATAAGAAGAAGAAGAATATGAAAAAATAATATCATAATTGTTTTCATTATTGCTGTTGTTATGATGTTGTTGTTGTTGTTGTTGTTGTTGTTATTATTATTATTATTATTTATTATTATTTTTATTATTGTTATTATTGCTAATATTATTAATATTATCAATACCTCTACTTGTATAATAATAATAATAATAATAATAATAATAATAATAATAATAATAATAATAATAATAATAATAATAATAATAACAACAATTTGATATTATTTTATGTTATTATTATTATTATTATTATTATTATTATTATTATTATTATTATTATTATTATTATTATTATTATTATTATTATAAGAATCACCTTAAAAAAGTTAACATGTAATGCCATTGCAACATTTCCACACTGCATATGGTAAGTACTGCAGTAAAAATATATTCATTTTAAAAATATACCTATAATACAGAAATATATATGTGTCATTTATATGTATAAAAATGTTATTTATAAATCACATTAAGGCAAAACAAATATGTGAAATTGTGCCTTGCCTGGGATTTATTAAAATATGCCACTGAGATCACGAGTTGTTCAATTTTTTGGTAAAAATCTTATATAATTGATTATAACATATTATTTATTCATTTTCTTTTCGGCTTAATCCCTTTATTAATCCAAGGTCGCCACAGTGGAATGAACCGCCAACTTATCCAGCACGTTTTTTATGCAGTGGATGCCCTTCCAGCCGCAACCCATCTCTGGGAAACATTCACACACACTCATACAAACTCGTACACTATGGACAATTTAGCTTACCTGTACCGCATGTTTTTTGGAATGCGGGGGAAACCAGAGCACCCAGAGGAAACCCATGCAAACGCAGGGAGAACATGCAAACTTCACACAGAAACGCCAAATGACCCAGCCAAGTCTCGAACCAGCGACCTTCTTGCTGTAAGGCGACAGCACTACCTACTGCGCCACTGTGTCGCCTATAACATTATATTGTATACTAAATATATTATTAAATGTATAATATAAATTCATTAAATATATTGTGCTATTGCGACCTTACATAAAAGCTAATAAAAAAAAAATAATAAGTTGATAGAAATCCAACCTTTTCCCCAAAAATATATTTTAGAATTAGTATTGTTTACTAAGACCACTGCAGGAGAGAACAAGCGCAGTTAAATTGCAACATCTAGGCTGGTTTCTCTTACATAACCAAACCAGTCAAATAATAAACATGAAATAGAGAAACATCTGAAAATATGTCTGCTAGTGGAACATTAATGTATTTCTTGTAAAAGTTCATTGCATATGTGTTGATTTAGAAAAGAGTTTACTTTATTTACATTATACAGTTGAATTCAGAATAATTACACCCCCCCCACCCCCGTATTATTAGCCCCCCTGTTTATTTTTTCCCTTGATTTCTGATTAACGAAGAGAAGATTTCTAAACATAATAGTTTAGAAATAACACTCTAATCTCTAAGAACTGATTTATTTTATCTTTGCTATGATGGCAGTACATAATATTTTACTAGATATTTTTCATGACACTTCTACAGTTTAAAAAGACAGGCTTAACTATTAAGTTATTGTACAACGATGGGTTGTTCTAAAGACAAACGAAACAAATAGCATAAAGGGGCTAATCATTTGACCTTAAAATGGTTCGAAAAAATTAAAAACTACTTTTATTCTAGCCAAAATAAAACAAATAAGACTTACTCCAAAAAAAAAAAAAAAAAAAAAAAAACATTATCAGACATACCGTGAACATTTTCTTGCTCTATTGAACATCATTTGGGAAATATTTATAAAAGAAAAAAAATAATTTAAAGGTGGGCTAATAATTCTGACTTCAATTGCATAAGTACTATATTGTAAGAATTAACACCTCCTCTGCATTATTTGATCCTATTAAAAAAATTAAAAAATGTAATCTTAAAATAACAACAGAAAACATGTATAAGAGACCGCCCCACAAATGGATAGACCAGCAACATTACATTTTTAGCTTCCTATTTTTATTTTTATTTCACAGCATGTTAGAGTTCCCACATGTGGTAAGAAGAACCCTGGTTTATGTTTTTAATTTGGTGCAAGGTCTCTTGTCCTATTTTCTTTCTCTTGCGTTTGAGCCTTGCAATGTGTTTATGACGATTTGCATATTTATACGCACAGCAAAGCTTTAACGTTTCCACATAGCTCAAATAAAAATGTATCTCCCCTTTCTGGAGGAGTAAACTGTGCTTTTCTCAGGGTTGGAGGTTGGGGTGGGATTCGGGAGGGTGGGGGGTTGGACACTGTAAGTATTTTAATGTGACCTTCATCAGGCATTCATGTCAACTTATCTATTTATGATTCCAGTTCCTTCCACTCTGTTGTTCAATTAGCGCTTGACCCCTTTAGCGGCGTTGTAAATTAAATGACATTTTCGTGTCGTCCCATATTTAAAATACTGCGTTAGTTGCGGATCAGAAATGATGATCTTCATTCTGCAGCTAATTTATTCATTTAACAATTTCCCTCCAGAAGTTGCAGCAGAAGGCTGTGGAGCAACCTGAGCAGAAGAAATCCAAGTCGGCTGAATTTCTGATGGGTGAGTCCCGCGTGATGAGTTATTGCTCATAATTTGTGTAAGGATTAATTAACTAATTACAGACAAATGGCTCTGGGCTAAATTTTGCTCTTGCTTGTCAGGGCGCAATTTGTAATTATTTTAATCATTTCTTCTGCTTTTTCTCCTTCATCTTCTTCGTCTTCTTTTTCACACACCCTTCCTCTTCGTGATTTGGGTTTAATTTTAACTTGTGCTTCTGTGTCATTGCAGGGGGAAGGAAATTTTTTGCTTGTCGTTAAATGTTCTTTGGAATAACGTGCCAGTCTGACCTCTGTTTTATTCTCATCTTTCTGTTCTCAGCGGAAAAAGGCAGGATGGAGGGAGCTGTAAATCCCGCGTTCCAGGAGGACTCGGAGGAAGAGAGTGAGACAAGAGGTGGTGTGCGCAACAGCACACTTGCGGTTCGGGGACAGCACATGGGGTTGAGGGCCACAGCTACGACAGCAGGTGAAGCTTTACCCTGTCCCACCCTCTGTAAGACAGGCCCGGCCTCACATTCCAGCGCTGCCTGTCCTAACAGGTATCCCTGTATAGCATAGGTGCATTTGCAGATGTTACAGGAGTAGAGTTTAAAAAAAAAAAAAAGTTTAATGGAAGGACGTAAGATGATGTTGAACTGCAAACACTGCTCATCTGGAACATATGCCTCTCCTCTCATATAGCAGGTTATGAATCAGATGTGCCATTTTTCACATACTTTCATATGTTGTTGTGCTTTTTAAGTACTATAGGTTGACAATCTTAAAAGAATGCAGCAGTGCATGGCACTACAAAGTGAAGGGATTCTTTTTTTTATTTTATTCCTTAATGGATCATTTCATTCAACAAATATCAAGTGTTCACAAGATACTGACATAACATTTTTGATACTAGACTAAGAAAAGTTCTACACTAAAACCCAAAAAGTTAACGTAACACGAACCATTTGAGGCAACCAATTGCAACACACCATTTAAGTTTAAAAACTAATCCTAATGAGTACTGTGAACTTAATTCATTTAAGTAAATAAAGCAATTTGAGCACAGTTAAACCCGATAAATGAAGAGAACTCAAACCAACTGAGTACTGATAAACTTAAGTTAAGGCAACTCAAATTGTTTGAGGAAACTGATTGCTACAAACCATCTGAGTTTGTAAACTAATCTATGTGAGTACTGTGAACTTCATTTTAGTTTAAGTAATAAGGCATTTAATTAACTCATTACCTTCAATGTTAAGTTCTCCTAAAATTCTTTTCAAATAAATAGAATTAACTTTTAGCACATTTTGAGTTAACTACACTCATTTCATTTGATAAAGTTGACTGTTAGGTTTTACAGTGTGTCTGTAAACAGTATTAGTTCACTGCAAAAACAAAGAAAAACAGACCCCCCCCCCAGACCCCCCCAAAAAAGAGATAATTTGGCCACAATCTTTAAAAACAATTAAAGTGAATCTTACTGTGTTTTTTTCTTTTTCTTTTTTGCCCGTTGTTGTGTAAATGTAAAGAGCATTGAAACCGTGAACAATCTCAGCAAGTAAACCACACACTCTCAGAAAAAAAAATGATACAATGTTGTACCAAAGACGGTACAAATCCTTGTCACTGGGGTAATACCTTTTAATGGAACAGAATTGTACCTTAAAACAAAGAAACAAATTTATACCATTGGAGTTTGTAGCTTTGAGGACATTATTTTTACCATGGGAAACCAAAATGTACTTTTGCTTTTTAAAACCTGCAGATCCAATATTGTACCTTCGTCAAAGGTATAAATGTTGTCCATGAAGGTACCACTGCAGTGACAAGACACTTTGTACCCTAACAGTGTCAAATGTGATCCTTTAGACATTATCTAAAGGTATTTTGCTGTATTCAAAATCCGTCAATTTATTTTCGGTAAATTTAAAACATCAAATACATTTAATAAACAATTTTACAGTTTACAAAAAAAGTTTCTTTTTGTGTAAATGCACATTTTCAATTTAGAATAAAGCATAAAAAATACTTTAAGATAAATCAAAAGATCTAGTTTTTGCTGAACACTTCACAACACTTTTCACAAAAATGAAATACATGTTTCCATGTACAATATTAAACATTTTTTTCCTCCAATTTACACACAATACCTTTGTAATCACTTAAAAGCTAGTTTAGTTTACTTCATTTTAAAATAGAAACAGAATTATGCAAAAGTATTTAAATGAGATATGCACAATGTTTGATTAGCTTTACAATACTAAAATGTCTGCGTGAACACTGCAGCTCAGCTTTCGCCAGCTCACGTGCATGGTGGAAAGCAAATTGATAGTGAATATCAATAATGACAGTGTATCAGAAAATGCTTACCAAACATTTATTAAAAATGCCTTAAATGTTTAGTTTACAATAGATATAGTTTTATGTTTCACCAATAATTTGTATTATAGAACTTAATAATTAATGTTTATGAGTTTCTTTAAACGTATGGTTTTAAATGAGGATTCGGGGTTTATTATGGAAATTATTCATGAAATCCCTTTGCCTTCCCAGTAATATTTATTTTTATAGATATTGTAATAAAGGAGCTGTCCAAAACTTTTGCATCTTTTTATGAGAACAATTGTGTACCTTCATTTTAATTGTATAAAAGGTACAGAACAGTATCATGAGAGGCATTTTTCTGTACTATATAAGATACAATTTTTACAAAGGTACAAAACTGTTCCTTAAGAAACTATTTTTGTACCACCTTGTACCTTTGTTTCTGAGAGTGCACTATGACATGCGCAACAATAAACAAAAAAAGAAGAGAAAGTTGCAGTGGAGTTTACATTTTAGATGACTGCCGCCTTTGTGTGCTGTGAAAGCTCATAGAGCACTAGAACGAACATCGAGTGTTTTAGCTGGCAGGCATATTCCCGCATGTAAATAATTCAAATGATTATCAAATTCAAGCTGAGATCAAACCTTAGCTTTTGCCTATGCATAATTTCAAAAGTTAAACTGCTGTGTTCAATTCCTTTGATAAATACTACATCAACTTTCATTTCATACTGCGCAAGAAAAAAAAAGGACACATGATTTTGTCCTTAGAGAAGCTCTCTTTTGGCTCTTTTTTTTTATCAGTTCTGCCAGCACATATTTGAGAATGTATTTACTTACATATACAAAAATCGCATGATTTCCCCAACCCTAAATCTATAACAGCCTTTCTGACAAATCAGTGTTATTCTAGCAGCGTCAGACTGCATTGCAGCACTGCATTATTGATAGTGTGCATGAAGAACAGAGAAGAGTTTGATTAAGGATGAGAAACACTGGAAGATGGCCAGGCCATGTAGTTAAATCAAAGATATAATTCAAAGACATTATTTCAAAGACCGCCAACGTTATGCAAATGTGAATGTGAAGCCCCTTCCAACAAAAACAGATATGGAAGCCAAACTGTGTTTACCGTGGAAAAGAGCTTCTCTTTGGGACTCAAGTCACTTCAATTTATTTGATGGGTGAATGTCAGTCAAAAGGGGCGTTTTCACTGACAACGTTTAAATCGCTTGAGGTCGAACTGTATCAGGCGGGGGATCACTGTGTGCATTCCCATTGGTGGATGCAGCCTCATATTGATGCTTATTTGCATAAAGTCAACTCAACTTTGTTGGATCGCCAAAGGTCGCTTTTGCTCATGACGCCAGAAACAGAGACAGTACTTAGTGAAATAGATGAGAGGAATTGCAGTTCTCGCTATTGGAAGACCCAGTCACCTTTTTTGGTAGCAAACAGTGGTGTAAAGTAACAAATACTCAAATTACTGTAATTGAGTGGTTGTTTTCAGGAATTGTAATTTACAAATTAGTTTTAAAAATGTGTTCTTTAACTTTCCCTTGAGTACACTTTACACTTTAGGGACAGCTTAAAGAGACATTTAAAGGTTTAACTAGGTTAATTAGGCAAGTTATTGTATAATGATGGTTTGTTCTGTTGACTATCAAAAAATATATATAGCTTAAAGTGCCTTATAATTGTGACCTTAAAATTATTATTTTTTTTTCATTAAAAATAGCTTTTATTCTAGCTGAAAAAAACAAATAAGACTTTGTCCAGAAAAAAAATAGTATCAGACATACTGTGAAATTTCCCTGCTCTTTTAAACATTATTTGGGAAATATTTAAATAAGTAAAAAAAACTCAAAGGGTAAAAAAAATTCAAATTGTTGAAATGAAATCACATCACACCAAACAACCTTAAGACTTGCAAACTGTTTGGAAGCATTAAAAGTGTCCAAGAATTACACTGTTGTTACACTAATGTTTAGACTGAATGTCACTGATGATAAGATGATGGTTGTTTACTGTATGGTGACCAAAATGGCCTTAAACAATAAATAAATGCACTACAGAATGTTGTTAACACACATGCACTCCTGAGTACCTTTAAAAGGGCTACTTAGGGTTATTTACAACAGATACTTTAACTCTACTTGCAATACATTTTTAGGCAGGTGATGATAGTTTTAATACGCTTCTTTCACACGGCCACCTTTTTAAAACCCAAAAGCGAGGTTGCGGTGGGAGGAAACCCGGAAGTATAGGATCAGCACTATAAACATTGCAACAACATGCTGTGTACTACAAACCTCCAGCTGTTGCCACGACCTAAAAATGCAGATATGGTGTAAAAATCACTTTAATATCATTCAGTTCATTCATTCATTCATTTTCTTGTCGGCTTAGTCCCTTTATTAATCCGGGGTCGCCACAGAGGAATGAACTGCCAACTTATCCAGCAAGTTTTTATGCAGCGGATGCCCTTCCAGCCGCAACCCATCTCTGGGAACCATCCACACACTCATACACTACGGACAATTTAGCCTACTCAACGCACCTGTACTGCATGTCTTTGGACTGTCCGGGAAAGCAGAGCTCCAGGAGGAAACCCACGCAAACGCAGGGAGAACATGCAAACTCGGCTCAGTTGGTGTTCACACAGAAACACCAACTAAGCCGAGGCTCGAACCAGTGACCCAGCGACCTCCTTGCTGTGAAGCGACAGCACTACCTACTGCGCCTCTGCTTCACCCCTCATTCATTAGGCATCAAACAATATCAAAATCTTTTTAAGGGTAATACGCTTAAGTGTCCTCCTAAGTTTCATTTCATGGCAGCAGGTAAACATTGTGAGGACGCTTCCCTACTTCAGCCTATATGTACCCATAACAATGCAGTCCTCCATAGCACATCCTGGTGTTGTCTGAAATAGTCTAGTCCCGGTACTGAAAACGTCCATTTCCCACTAACATTTAAGCGCCGCTGAGCGCGTTCATAAACAGCGCTGATTTGCCAAAGTATTCACCTGTGGTATACAGAAATGACTGTGATTGGCTGTGTAGGTCATTTGTATACCGCTCATCACAGATTGCAAACTCAGATAGATGAACATTGGAGCATTTTAAAGCCGTGAAGATCAGTCGATTTATCAGCGGATCGCTCGTCTGTGTTTACACTTGGTAAACATAGGTGCGGTGAACTGATGACCTTCACGGCCAATCACAGTAATTTCTGTCGAGCATGTGAACACCATGGCAAATCAGCGCTGTTTAAGAACA